AGGTGAGGAAACAGCTCTGAAGAAAGAAAGAAAAATCACATCACCATGACAGAGGGAGCTTCCAAGAATTGTGAACTCTCATTTTTTAAACATTTTTTCTTAAAATTTTCTTCATGCTCAACCATTGCCAATATTCTCATATTTTGGCCCAAATTCTCGTAAGAAACCAAATTAGCCTGTAAGTGTATCCCTAGAGAAAAAGATATTTCTCTCGTAGATTGCTGAACAATCTGACTGGATAATTTTCATGTTCCAGGATATGTGTGTGTGTGTACACAAGCATGCACACATGTGCCAGCACACATGTGTATGTGAAGATTGATGTAAAGAGTCAAAGATATAACAGATGCTTGAAAAGTATATAAACTGCTCCACACAGAACACACACAGTTTTAACACACAGAAAAAGGATGGCTTCGTGGAAAGGGACTGGAGCGCAGAGGCTGGCAGCCAAGATTCACGTTACGGAGCTCCCCCTTACGAAGTGCGTCAGTCTGAGCCTCGGTTCTCACACCCCCACTACCGGGAAGAGTAGCATTTGAGTCACTGTTAAAGCAGATGCTGTTACTGGGCACAGTATGCAAGAGATCGTGCTGACCTATTAAATCCCTGAGCTTTCCCGCATTTCCTGCGGGCCGGATGTCAATATCTTCCCGATGCTCACTCTGCAAATACGAACAAGGCTGCGCTCTTGAACTTACCAGAAGGTATCACCGTCAAGTTTTCAGGAAACAAAAGCGTAGTCTTTCCTTAATGGCTCATTGACTGTGTTAACCAGCTATTCATCACGGCAACAAAATACCTGAGACAATCAGCCCATGAAGAGGGAGGGTTTTTAAGAATTATTATTATTATTAATTATTGTTATTGTTTTGTCTTTTTGAGGGTCTGGCTCTGCAGTTCAGGCTGGTCTTGCACTCAGTTTGTAGCCCAGGCTGGCCTTGAACTCACAGCAAGCCTCCTGCCTCAGCCTCCCTAATGCTGCAGTTGCAGGCAGGGGCCACCACCCCGGCAAGGTTTATTTTGGCACACTGCCTCAGAAGTCTCAGACGGTGGTCGCTTCGCCCCACTCCCTTTGGCGTGTGGCAAGGCACAGCATCGTGGCAGGGGCTGTGGCTGCTCACCTCTTGGTGGCTGGGAAACAAAAACAGGGACAGGAAGGGACAGGGCCCCCATACCCCCTGTAAGGCCAGTCCTTAGTGACCTAACTTCCTGCAATCAGACCCCCCGCCCCGAGGTATCGCCATCTCCCAATGCTGCCACAGGCTGTCACCAACATTTAGCCCCTGACCTTTGGGGACAGCTATCCACACACCACCGACCGGCACGTGGTGGTTCCAGCAGCCTAGGAGGCCTGCAGGACGGAGAACCACGAACTTGGAAGGTGCCACCCACAACTGCAAGGGACCTGTGTCGTGACTGCCACCTAGCGGACCATCGTGGTAACGTCATCAGTTATGGCTGAACAGCAAATTTTAAGAGACGTTAGAAGTAGGGAAAGCAAGATACGTCTAAGAATGCATGAAATTTAGGGTAACCTGGAGGCCGAGGAAACAACATCCTTGACTTACTTGCAACTCTCCATATCCTCCTGCTTTTGGTGGAGGAGGGGTACCGGGAACTGAATTCAGGACCTTGCAATTGCCGGCAGGTGCTGCACTGCTGAGCTGTATTCCAGGCCTCAGCTACAATTTCCGCGTACGACCCCTTCTCACACTTCCCCTCCCCCACTCCTCCCGTAGGCAGGGGCCCCAACACAGCCCAAGTGAACGCAGAAGACTGCACCAGAGTGGTGTCATCACCAGCACTGTTCCCTGAAATAAAGATTTTCAGATATTTGTGCTTTTTTCTGAACTCCAGGGAAGTGTTAGAAGTCATAATAGTGTTTGTTGTGTAGCACAGAAAATATTTCACAATAACTTTACAAATAAAACCTTTTTGATTTTGTTTATGTTTTCTGAGACAGGGTCTTGCTCTGTAGTTCAGGCTGGCCTTAAACCCACCTTGGAGTAGCCCAGGTTGGCTTTGAACCCACAAAAATCCTCCTGCCTCAAACTCCCAAGCCCTAGGACCATTGGTGTGTGCCCCCACCCATAGCTGTCTTATTGCAGAATTCAAGAGATCAGAGAGACCAGTGGGAAAATGGGAGAGTTTTATTTGGTTTTAGGAAATACCCACCTAGCAGACTTGTGTCCAAAATGGCTGAGCATCAAAGGAGAAGCTCCTGTTTTTACATATTTTGCCAAAGGGGTTGGTGCTCAGGAGGGAACTTGTGGGCGGGCAGAAGGACAACAAAGGAAGCTTGTCACACTGTGACAGGTTTGTATCTTGGTGGTTCTACGCCAGCATAACAGGGTGTTATGGGAACAGGAAGTTATAAAATTTTACTTATAGGGACAAAAGTTACTGCTTTTACCTTATTAAAACAAAGGACAATAGCTGTAGAGAGGGGGAAATTTGGGAAACCTGACTTTTTCTCTTTAAGTCCTGCTTCAGTCTAAAATCTTCATATTTATACATGCAGTTAACTTTTAATTTTTAAGCTTCTTTACCCTAAAAGACATTTAGTATTCTTTCATTTTATGAACTAACTCATTAATGGCTCAGTGGTATAACTCCTTCTCTTGATTTTTGGATAAGCAACAGACAATATTTCCCTTTTAATTAGATCTGAATATTTTTACTTAAAATAGAGAATGGGAGAGACAGAGACAGAGGAAAGGAAAAGGGAAAGTGAAAGAAAGAAATAATGACTATTATTTCACCATGTGCCAGCTAGCACGCAGGCCCTCTGTATTCCTGAGATCTGTATCTGGGAATTCAGCTACCTTCAAATGAAAAATACTTTTTAAAAACAGTGCCTAAAGTACGACTTTTCTCTCGTCATTTTCTCCTAACAGCAGAGTGTAGCATCTGTCTGCGTCACATGCGCGCTATGCTGGGTGTCACAAGCCATCCCAACATGACCTAGCACACATGGGGGTGGTGTCTCGGTCGTGTGCAGACACCACAAAGTTCACTGATAGACACGAGCACCTGCGACTTCTCACACGCACTGAGGTCCTGCAACAAACACCCACCCCGGCCCACGGAGGGACCAATGTACTAAGGAGGTAACAACACAATTATGTGCCTTCAAAAAAAATTAAAACTCCATCTATAAATTTCTTAAAACTTAGGTCTGAAAAAACTCATAAAGAAGAATTTATATAGGAATAAAACACAGAAATATCTACAATGACTATACTCAGCAAATGGATAGCACAACATGCGCACTGTGATCTTTTATAAGGACCAGGAAAACAGGGGTTGAACGCCACGCCCACGCCCGCACAGCACGTGGCACTTCTTTGTATCTGGTTCCCCTCATCCACGAGGGTGCCTCTTCATGAGGTTCTTTTAAAAACAGGGTTTATGTGCTGGGGATTTAGCTCAGCGGCAAAGTGCCTTCCTGGCAAGCGCAAGGTCGTGAGTTCAGTTCCTGGTACTGGAGAAAAACCAAAAAAAAAAAAAAAAAATTATTAAAAAAACAGGTGTTATGTTATATTCCATAATACAGGAAACGGTCATATGCTAATTTTCAACCAGAACAATTGTGAAGTGAATTGCTCCCATCATACAACTTTATCTTTCCTAGTTTTACAAAATTATTTACAGTATTTATTAAGAGTTATTAACACATCTAGGCATTAAATAATGTATTCTAAACTTGTCAGCAAGTATATCTGATAGCAAAATATTTACAGAATTTTGTTTGGAATCCCTCTAAAATTTAATAGTATGCAATGTGTTGAATCAATTGTTCATTTGAGAAAATGTAAAATACCTCAATTCCCATCACTGTGGTTTCTCTGCTGACTTTTCTAATAATTCATTAAGAGGCACTGCCATTAAGATAACGTCAAACTGTCTCTGGAAATTTGGTATAATATTTGCTCAGACTTTTAAGATAAAAATCCATGTTCTAATATAAGGATGCACTCTCTAATGAATGTTCTCTCATATTTCAAAAAACTTGTTTAGTGGTTTGCCCATTTTCTCTTTAATTATAAGTCCTTTTAACAGAAAAAAAAAGGGAATAAGAACTCACTGCAACACCTTCATTTTAACTGTTCATACAGCAAGATTTCTGTTGTTATTTGTGCGCACTGCTTTTGTTGTTGTGTTTGGTAGTACTGAGAATCAGAATCCAGAAGCACCCTACCACTGAGCTTCATGCCAGCCCTTTGCAAATTTTTTTAACTTTTAACACAGGGTCTTGCTAAATTGCCCAGGTGGAACTTGAACTTGTGACCTTCCTGTCTCAGCCTCCCACAGTGCTGGGATTACATGCATGGCCCACCATGGCAACACGGCAGTTCTTAAGGTCTGGTCCCAGATACATTAGCATACCTGAGAATTTGTGAGGATGCAAAGTCTGAGTCCCCACCCAGGCCCACTGGAACCTTAGGAACTCAGAGGAGGAGTGATCTCCAGCAATCTGGATTTTAAGAGCCCTCCAGGTGACCTTGATGCACGTCAAATATTTAAGATTCACCATGCTGTGTTAGAATCACAGTAAGGCAGAAGTACTTGTAGCCTGATGTGGTGGTGCACGGCTGTAATCCCAGCACTCAGAGGCTGAACAGAGGGATCATCAGGAGTTGGAGGAAAGCGTGGGCTATATAGTGAGTTCAAACCCAGTGTGAACTATACAGTGAGACCCTGTCTCAAAAACAAAAACAAAACACAACACAGCAAAACAAAACAAAACAAACCCCAGAAGTTGTTACAATGAGGTTTCACAAGGAAAAAAATCTAATTGTATTATTTAGCTACTGCATTTTCTACTTTTAATGATACATTTGATGGAAGAAAAATTAAGACAATAAGGATAGTACAGAAGCAGTTAATTATAGTGCAACAAGTCACAAGACCAGAGAAATAAGCATCTTACAATTTGCAAATATTTTCTTTAGTACTTTGATGGGTTCTGAAAGAATGTGTGGATGAGCATAAATTACAACCTGTGCTGCCCCCAGAGAACCAATATGGAGTTAGTAAACTTCTCTTCTTGCACAAGAAAAGTGCACTAACAAGCAGTAGATTATCATTTTCTGAACTGCTATTGGTTAGGATTTGAACTACACATGCTTTAGGTGTTAAGGGCAAAAGTATGTATAGTAGAGAAAATCATAAAAATGCCAAAAGTAAGTTACCTGGTGCAAGTGTAAATGTAGCTACAGTTTTATTTGGTAGATGGAATAGAACAGGAATTCAGTTTAGGAGAAATGAAAATCACAGAAACAAGAGAATAGCAAATATAAGTAAAATGTGGGGAAATCATTGTGGGTTTTAGTATTGTGCCAATACGGACATAGTATTAAATTGTAAGCAAGAGCTATTATCCTTATCTTTGTAATTAAGAAGAGGGAAGCCATGGACAGTTTCACAGACTTCTTTTAGACTTATAAATGTCTGAGAAAATCTTGGGGTTTGAGAGGAAGAGCGTGGGTGTGGGTGTTTGGATGAATGTGAATGTTGGGAATTTTATTTCTGGGGAAAGGGCTCCTACGCTTTGATTCTAACCTCAAAGAGATCTAAGACTTGTTCCCAAATATGTAAACCAGCCATCCTGAAACTTAGACTTTAAGGTTAAACAATTTGGTTAAAGGTTAAACATTACAGAGCAGGCCTTAGAACTCGTGCAATGAGTGCACTTACGTAGTGGAGAATAAGTGGCTCCCTATCCATGACACATTTGTAGGAAATCACCATAATCATTCTTTCTGAAAGTAGTGAGGGTAAAGCAACTTAGAATTAAATTAGGCCACGTAAACTTCTGTCTTTGGCAAGGCCTAGCATTTGGATAGTCCTTGTTTTTTAATTATGAAGACCCTCGTAATCAGCCTCCGGAAAGCTCCTTTCACCTCTTTGTTCCTCAGCGTGTAGATGAGGGGGTTCAGCATGGGTGTGATGATCCCATAGAAAAGCGACACCATCTTTCCCCGGTCTTTGGAGGCGGGAGATGGAGGCTGCAGGTACATGTAGATGGCGGTGCCGTAGAACAGCGTCACCACTATTAGGTGGGAGCCGCATGTCCCGAAGGCCTTGCGCCGACCTTCTGCTGACTGCATCCTCAACACTGCATGGACAATGAAAGCATATGAGATAAGGATTAGGGTCACGGGTATCAGAAGGAAGAGCACACTGATGAAAAAGAGCTCAGCTTCATTGGCTGTGGTGTCCACACAGGACAACTTGAGCAGGGCGGGGACCTCACAGAAGAAGTGGTCCACCTCCCTGTGACCACACAGAGGCATCCGCAGGGTCCAGGCGGACTGCAGCACTGAGTTGCTGAAGCCGCTGAGCCAGGAGGCAGCCGCCAGCTGCAGGCACAGCCTCTGGTGCATGATGACCGAGTAGTGCAGAGGCCGGCAGATGGCCACGAACCTGTCGAAGGACATGACGCCCAGGAGGAGACACTCGGTGGAGCCCAAGGCCAGGAAGATGAAGAGCTGGGCCACGCAGCCGCCATAGCTGATCACCTTCCGGGAGCTGCAGATGTTCACCAGCATCTGGGGCACAGTGCTGGTGGTGTAGCAGAGGTCCAGCAGCGAGAGGTTGGTGAGGAAGAAGTACATGGGGGTGTGGAGCTTGGCATCCAGACGCGACACCAGGATGATGGCCACGTTGCCGAAGATGGTGAGGACATAGGAAACCAGGAACACCGCGAAGAGCGGCAGCGCCAGCCATGGCCGGTCTGAAAAGCCCAACAGAACAAACTCCTGGGGGGTGCTCTCATTTACCCAATTCATAGTAGAGCATTCAACTTTTGGTTCCCTGAAATACAGAGCAGAGAAACAGTAAGTTAAATACGTATTTGTTAACATTTGCTAGTGATTTGCATAAACTTAGAAAGTGTCCCTGTTACTGCTGTGAAAAATGCACATTAGTGAAAATTTATCTAAGTGTTTCAAAAGTATTCCTACAGCCAGGCCTGTTGACCCATGCCTGTGATCCCAGCTCCTTGGGAGACTAAGGCAGGAGGGCCTGGGCAGCTTAGTAAGACCCTGACTTAAAATAAAGATGGAGATGTAGCTCAGTAGTAGAGCAGTCCTGGATTATTACTGAAAAAAAAAAAAGTGTTTATAGCAGTTTCTTACCAAAATGATTTTCAAAAGTCTTAAAGCATGTACATCTGTTTCTTCATTCACAGGATGTGCTATCTTTGATATTTTCTTTTGAAAACGCACTGTTCTCACTTCTTGCCTGCGCACCGACTGCTGGGCAGGCGCAGACAATGTTCCTGCTGTTTCCCTTCATTCTGATCTCTCCTCCGTGCCAAGGAGATGCTCTGGTTTGGGAATTGGTTGACATTATTTAAACCCCACTTCACCTCTTCACAAAATGAATGTAGACAAATATGCTAAGAGATACACTCTAAAGAGACACCTTGTTTTACTGTTAGAAGTGTGGTGATAGTCGAAGGTGTCAGGCCTGGGCGCGAGTACCTACCTTCGCTCCTCGCTACTCCGCCCTGGTAACGCTTTCCATCTTCAGGCCCCTCACCTGCAAATTAGAGACAGTACTGACGACGTGAAGCATCAGTGCACACCCGGGGAAATGGCTCTGGCTGCTGAAACTCAGTTTCCTATTCTCTCTACAACTCCACGTCCATCACCCTCAATAGCAGAAGCCCCAGTGGGCGCCACCTGGTAGGGGTGACCCATGCAGAGCCCAGGCGGTAGAGGAGGACGTGTAGGCACAGGAGGCTGAGATGCTGGGCGGAGCCCACTCACAAGCCCCATTTCCTGGGGTAGTAACACGGCACTGCGCGGGCTGAAAGTGTACCTACCCCAGAAAGGCTCAGTGGGATACTCTGCTCTACCAGTACACAGTATATAGTTTAATGTTTATTTTCTCAGTGTCAGGGGTGGAACCTGGGGCCTCCCACACATTGGGTAAGCAACCCCCCGCTGAGCTGCATCCTAGCTCCAGGGTATTTTTCAGCTACGTACATATTCATCAAACTCTCTGGAATCCTCTCTGGTGCTGCTGTGGCTCATCTGTCAACATCTGCATCAGCGGCTTTCAGTCAGCTCCAGTGCCATTAAAGGCCGCAAAGCAAATGTCTCTGCTGTTGAGCAAAGCTGCACTGCCAGCACCCTAGGATAATATTGTTCTCCTTTTGATCAATAAGCATTCAGCTGGGCAGCAGAACAATACATTTTGGATTTTGAGCATAGCAACTGGGTCAAGGAACCGGGTTAAAGCA